GCCCCCCCGCCTGCCCCTCGCCCTCACCCGCTGCCTGGCCCTCACCGCCCTGCCTTGCAGCCAGCTTCTCGATCTTCCGTCCGTCCTCATACCACCTTGTCGTGAACACCACCTTCGGCCTCAGGCTGCAGGTTCAGGTGGTGCCTGTCATGCAGCTCTTTGTGACCCTGGACCAGGCTGCCCAGGGACGTGTGCAGGGTGAGTGGCCCTTTCTGTCTCCCCCACACAGAGGCCCCACGCCGGGCCCCCCTGCCCTCCAGCCCCTTCCCAACCCTGTCCTGGCCCTTCAGGCCTGTGCGGGAACTTCAATGGGCTGGAAGGTGATGACTTCAAGACAGCCAGCGGGCTGGTGGAGGCCACGGGGGCCAGCTTCGCCAACACCTGGAAGGCCCAGTCGAGCTGCCATGACAAGCTGGACTGGCTGGATGACCCCTGCTCCCTCAACATTGAGAGTGGTGAGGCTCAGCCACCAGGAGGGTGGCCCTGCCGGGCCTGTGGGGATGGGGTGTGTGTATGGGGACAGAGGTGAGATGGCCCTCCTCGCTCAGGGCCAGTGCGTCTGCCAGCTGCTTTCTGCCATGTGGCTGGTGTATGGTGACCCACAATGGCAGCCTGCCAGGAGATACGGCAGAGGGGCAGGGACTGCTAATCACTGGGCAGCGGCCCTCTTGCAGGGGATGGCCCGGCACCATGACAGCACACCTTCCTATCCGCCATGCCACCCGCCTGTCTGGGGAGACAGGGGGTGGGGAGGCGGTGGGTGGCTGCACCTCGCAAGGGGGGCCCTGTCCTGCACCAGCTGATGAGGAGGGAGGGTCAGCACCTGCCCCAGCGTGGGCAGCGGGGCTCAGGGTGCCTGCTGGAGGGGGCTGCCCCTGCTGAGTCCCTGACCCCTCCCAGCCAACTACGCTGAGCATTGGTGCTCCCTGCTGAGGAAGACGGAGACCCCCTTCAGCAGGTGCCATTCGGCAGTGGACCCAGCGGAGTATTACAAGGTGGGTGGGACCCGCACAACCCCTGCCCACCTGCCCAGCCCACGTCCCCTCTGACCGGTCGCTGACTGCCAGGCTCTGCTGGAAGCTACTGAGAGTGTGTGTATAAGCACACAGGCATGAGTGTGGGTGCACACGTGTGTCCCCAAACACTTGCTCACGCGTGAACTCCCCTTGCCTGCCCTGGTCTGTCTCCAGAGGTGCAAGTACGACACCTGCAACTGCCACAACAATGAGGACTGCATGTGCGCCGCCCTGTCCTCCTACGCGCGAGCCTGTGCCGCCAAGGGCGTGCTGCTGTGGGGCTGGCGGGAGCGCGTCTGCAGTGAGTGCGCCTGCATGGGGGTCCACGGGACGCGGGGCAGAGTGGGTTGAGTGCTTGCGCCGGGCTCCATAGGGGGCAGGGACCTGACACCGGGCCCCTGGCCGCTGGCTGGGGTGACGGGAGCTGCAGGCCCAGCCCTCATGCCGACACCCCCTGCAGACAAGGACGTGGGCTCCTGCCCCAGCTCCCAGATCTTCCTGTACAACCTGACCACCTGCCAGCAGACTTGCAGGTCGCTCTCCGAGGCCAACAGCCACTGCCTCAAGGGCTTCGCACCCTTGGATGGCTGCGGCTGCCCCGACCACACCTTCCAGGATGAGAAGGGCCGCTGTGTGACCCTGGCCAAGTGTTCTTGCTACCACCGCGGACTCTACCTGGAGGCCGGGGAAGTGGTGCTGAGACAAGAGGAGCGATGGTGGGTGCTGGGTGCTGGGGTAACGGGGTGGCAGGGACGGCTTCACCTGGGGGAGCCCATTCCTCACCCAGCCCCAGAGCCACCAGGCCCCAAAGGGCCTGTTCACCTCCCGCCTCTCCCCCTCAGCGTCTGCCGGAATGGGAGGCTGCACTGCACGCAGGTCAAGCTGATCAGTCAGAGTGAGTGTGGACGCCACCCTCCTGCCCTTGGCCCCCCTTGCCTGTCCAAGCCCCCACCCCAACTTCAGCTGAGCTAAGGTGGCTCCTCTGCCCAACAGGCTGTGCGGCCCCAAAAATCCACATTGACTGTAACAACGTGACCTCGCTGGCCATCCGGAACCCCCGCCCCCTCAGCTGTCAGACGCTGGCCGCAGGCTACGTGCGTGCTGGGGAGTGCCCTGGGCTTGGGGTGGAGGCAGGTTCCCGGAAGGCTGTGAGGAGCATGATGCGGGGCCCTGAGGCTTTCCTGGGTGTGTGTGCGGCCCCGCCTAGCCCACCAGGGGCAGAGTGCATGTAGGGCCCCCAGTCGCTCTCACCTGTCCCCTGGCTCGGGGTGAGCCTGAGCAGAGGGGCTTTGAGGGACGGCTCAGGGAGCAAGATCAGGGGTCGGGTGTGGCGAGGGCCCACAGTGGGTGTCTGCAATGCCAGAAAAGGGGGCAGCCAAGGGCAGGGCCAGCCTGGCCATCCAGGGCCCCACATCTGATCCCTGAACCCTGCCTCCTGGCCACCCCACAGTACCACACGGAGTGCATCAGTGGCTGCGTGTGTCCCGAGGGGCTGATTGATGATGGCCGGGGCGGCTGCGTGAAGGAGGAGGCGTGCCCATGTGTGCACAACAAGGAGTTGTACTCCCCAGGCCACACCATCAAGGTGGACTGCAACACCTGGTAAGGGCCTGTGCTGGCCAGTCTTCGGAGAGCCCTGAAGGGCTGGCTGCAGGCAGAGGCATCTTCCCATGGGGCCAGCTGGGTCTGCCAGTCACATGGCCCCCACCTGGCACAGGGCCATGATCTGGGTGCAGGGCTGGTGAAGGCTGGCAGGTGTGGTTGGAGAGCTGCTGGGGGAGCTGTCACCGTGTCTCCGAGTGGCGGTGGGAGGGCCCCCGCAGTCCCCCACAACCCTTCCCTCTCCTCAGCACCTGCCGGAGAGGGCGCTGGGTGTGCACGCAGGCCGTGTGCCACGGCTCCTGCTCTATCCATGGGAACGGCCACTACATCACCTTTGATGGGAAGCACTACGACTTCGATGGACACTGCTCCTACGTGGCCGTTCAGGTGAGGCTATGGCTCCTACGTGGCCATTCAGGGGAGGCTGTGGGGTGCCCGGCTCCAGGCGCTACTTCTGCGTCGTGGTCCCTGTTCTGCAGGGCCCGTGCTGCCCTGGGGCCTGGGAGGGGTCAGGAGGTGGGTGGGCCTGGCCCTTCCTGGCCCTCCCATTCCGTGACCCTCCCTTGGGGGCAGTGGGAATGAGGGGCTGGTGTGGGGGTGGTTACCCCTGTCACCGTGGGGCTGAGGCTTGGTGAGGCCAGCTGGGCTGGGTCCGGGGGAGCCCCTGGGGGCCCGGCCAGCCTGGCTCACGACCCGTGGGCCCCCAGGACTACTGCGGCCAGAATGCCTCTCTGGGCTCCTTCAGCATCATCACCGAGAACGTCCCCTGTGGCACCACGGGTGTCACGTGCTCCAAGGCCATCAAGATCTTCATAGGGGTGAGTGCAGCCTGAGCCTGATGACACAGTGGCCCCTCAGGGACCCCTGGGCGGCGTCACAACAAGGTGTCTCTCCTGCTGCAGAGGACGGAGCTGAAGCTGGAGGACAGGCACCGTGTGGTGATCCAGAGGGATGTGGGCCACCACGTGGCCTACACCACGCGGGAGGTGGGCCAGTACCTGGTGGTGGAGGCCAGCATCGGCATCATCGTCATCTGGGACAAGAGGACCACCGTCTTTATCAAGCTGGCCCCCTCCTACAAGGTGCGTGGCCACCCTCGCCCACCTGGCCTTCCAGGCACGTAGTGGGTAGTGCAGCTGCCCTGCCCCCTGAGAGGCCCTGGTGAAGCCTGCACTGTCTCTGCAGGGCACCGTGTGTGGTCTGTGCGGGAACTTTGACAGCCGCTCCAGCAATGACTTCACCACGCGGGACCACATGGTGGTGGAGAGCGAGTTGGACTTCGGGAACAGCTGGAAGGAGGCCCCCACCTGCCCAGACGTGAGCTCCACCCCGGAGCCATGTCTCAGGAGGCCACACCGCCGGGCCTGGGCCGAGAAGCAGTGTAGCCTCATCAAGAGCCCGGTCTTCGGCAGCTGCCACAGCAAGGTGGGTGGGCTGTGGGCAGGCCGGGAAGGTGTGGGCCCTGTGCACAGTGGGGCCGCCCACTGCCTGGTCCTCTGAGGAACCCACTGGCCAGGCCCCCTGCCTCCTGTGCCATCCACTATGGCCCAGATGGCCTTCAGCTCCAGGCAGTGGGTGGGGGGTGGGGCAGGGTGGGCCAACTGAGTGCTTCCCCAGCCCCCTGGGACCCTGGAGGCTGGTGCTGGCGACCACGACTGCCCCAGGGGGCTGGAGCTCTGGCGCTGCAGGGAAGCTGGCCCCATGGGGGTGGTGCAGCCTGGGGCTCACTGAGGCTCCCCTGCAGGTGGACCCCAAGCCGTTCTACGAGGCCTGTGTGCACGACTCCTGCTCCTGCGACTCAGGCGGGGACTGCGAGTGCTTCTGCTCCGCCGTGGCCACCTACGCCCAGGAGTGCACCAAGGAGGCAGCATGCGTGTACTGGCGGACCCCAGACCTGTGCCGTGAGTGCCTGCCGCCCACCTGGGGGCCGCCGCTTGGGGGCGGGCAGCACTGCCCACCCATCCCGGGGAGGGCGTGTGCGGTCTTGCCCTGCTGTCCCCGGCCGAGGACTCCAGGCTCAGGCGAGGACCCCAGGCTCACGCCACTCCACCCCTGCCTGGCAGCCATCTTCTGTGACTACTACAACCCCCCTAACGAGTGCGAGTGGCACTACGAGCCATGTGGGAACCGCAGCTTCGAGACCTGCAGGACCCTCAGCGGCATCCACTCTAACATCTCGGTATCCCACCTGGAGGGTGAGTGGCCTGCCCCTGGGGTCCCCCTCAGTCAGGCCCTGGGGGGCCTGGGAGCAGGTGGACTCAGAGTCTGAGAGGGACCCTGCTTTCCAGAGGGTGGCAGCGGGGAGCTGGGTGAGGGCGGCTGGGTGGGGTCTGGAGAAGTGCCAGGCAGAACAGGGTGTAGCTTTCGGACTGTGGGTCTGGGGGCCTCTCCAGGGCCTGTGAGCTGAGAACTAGCACAAGAAGGTGGGAGCTGCATGCAGAGCTGGGGGCGGAGCGTCCTGCCATGTTGGGGGACTGGGGTCAGGAGCTCAGGCCCTCCACCAGTCTGGGTGGGGCCTGGTGGTCTATCAGTGGGCGGTCGGGGCCTGGCTGTGTCCAGGGCTCAGAGGGTACCCTGGCCCCTGCCTTTCCGACCCTGGCCTTCCAGAGAAACACTGAGAGAAGGGGATGATGGGTGGCGTGGTGGAGGTGGGATCCCCTGTAGTGGTCCAAGCCCCGTGCTCTGTGTCCACCAGGCTGCTACCCCCGGTGCCCCAAGGACAAGCCCATCTATGACGAGGACTCAAAGAAGTGCATCCCAGCGGACCAGTGTGGCTGCTATACGGAGGACACACGCTATCCCCCCGGAGCACCCATGCCGCCCAAGGAGGACTGCCAGTTCTGGTACCTGAGTTCACAGTGTGGGGCTGGGGGTCCGCACACACAGGCACTTGCCCATAGGCAACTGCATGTGCACATACGTCAGGAGCCAGGGCACAGGGACACCAGCTCCCCCTTTATGGGGAGTGGGCAACAGGCCCCTCAGCCCTTTTCTGTCTTGCTCAGGGCTGGAACCCAGCGGGCAGCTCCTCTGGAGCAGTCCTTGGGCTGTGCCCCGGGGCTTTGGGCCCTACTCTGGGCTGGGCCGGCAGCCAGAGGTCCGGCCTAGGGAGGCTGTGCTCCCTTGGGGCCTGCAGCCATTGTACTTGCTTTTCAGCATGTGCACTAACTCCTCGAAAGCCGACTGCTGGTGGGAAGAGGGTAAGTGGCCCTCTGCAGCTGCCCTCACCAGCCACCCAGCTGCCCATCCTGGACCCTTGGGGCTCTGGCTCCTCCTCAGCTGCTCCTGTGTGGCTCAGACTGCCTCTGATTTGCAGCGTCCGGTGGGGCCCACCTCACGTTTGTGGGTCCCCTGGTGGGGAGCTGATGCCCTTGTGGCGAATTCCTGTCGTCCCTTCTGTGTTCTGATGAGGCCCCCTTAGGGTTCTGGGGATGGGGTCCCAATGGGGAATTGGTTTACCACTGGCTGAAGGCAGGGGACACCCAGTCTTTCCCTTGTTGGGACGGGGGGCTTGGGGGGTGGTTTGTGAGTCTATCTTGTTCCTGATGTGTTAACGGTGGCCTCCCTCCTGCCCCCCAGGGAAGCTCCTCAACTACACCCAGGACGGCTCCTTCTGCTACCAGGAGCTCTGCGGCCCCAATGGGACGGTGACGAAGCACTTCAACATCTGCACCTCCTCGACACCCCC